CCCATATCCAGGTCTGAAGCCAGTTTGAAATGGATCTAGAAAATCAGTTTCATCCAAGATCACTTGGAGTTGGAAGGCAATGGCTCGCTCAATCATCTTGCTCAAGAATGGTAGATGCGAGACTGGTCTATAATTTTTCAGATCCAGGGGGTGGGTCCAGGGTAGGTTTTTTCAGGAGAGGTATAACGACTGCCTCCTTCAAACTTGATGAAACAATTCCTTCCCTAAGGGATGTATTGATGACTCTCTTAAGAAAGGCCTTCAATGCATCACCCCCCCTAGACGACCAGCCAAGATGGGCAGGGATGGAGGGAGCACGTTGTCTTCCTCACTTTTCCAAAGATCTTGTCCATGTCATTGGTACTCACTGACTTGAACCGATCCAGTCTACTCTCACAAATGGGTTTACTGGAACCTCATGTGTCACTTCTGTTGTAATCCCGGCGTCTAAGTTGGCTCTTATCTTATCTTTTAAAACTGCTGTACATTTACTTTAGAGCTGTCAACTGATTCAGAAGAATGTACAGGCATATTTTGCTTTAAAGTACTTCAATTTAGAGTGTTTTGGTAGTACAGCACTTTACAATTATACAGTAGGGCATCATTTTGTTGCCTGTTCTAGTCTGTTTACTGCATTTGTGCACTTTGTGACTCAGCTCTCTGTTCTAACCAAAAAATTAATTCATTATTTTTATTTGACTTGTAAAATATACACTGGAAAGTGAAGGGGAAAAAAGGGTGGAAGTTGCTTTAAGGTGATAGATGGCCTGAAACCTAACCTGCTGTATTAGCAAAGTATGCCTGTAACTGACTGTGTAATCCAGAGACTGGAACCAACACATTACATACAACATTGTGATGTCTTATGTTTTCATATCCTTTTATACTAAATGATGGATATTGCTGTTAATTTTAGGTATTATATTGCAAACAACAGGTATTATATTTAGGTATTATATTAGAAGCAACAGCAGTTCTACAAATTACTACATATTAATAACATTTACTAATTACTTTAAAACTTAATTTGTGGGTGTGGGTGTTTTTGTCATTTGGAACCATTTTTCTGTTTTTCAAATTATTATTTCTAAAAATAATTAATTTAAAAGTAATGTGTTAGTAATGAGCAATGTAACACAGTACTTTTTACTATGAAATAATGACTACCAATAATGGAGTAATTTTTTTACCAAGCAACACTAAAACTCTATAATATTTCCAAGCTGTGTTCTGTTACTGTAAGGAGTTTATCACATAGGGACCTATGTGTTTCCATTCTGAAAATGGTTAAAGTGTCTGCATCCCAGAAAAGCACGCAAATGTGTAAATGATTTTCACATGCAGAGCACAACACCACGTTAAAAGCACATTACTAATGTGAGAAAGTGGGTAGAAAGCACATTTGATTTTCACACAGATGCAGACAAATCCCGTTGATGGTTTGGAAATAACTTTTTTGTGTATGCGCACAGAAGCAGTAGTTGCATTACCAGAAATCACCCAGAGAAATAAACAATTATATTTACACAATTTTCTTTATAAAAATATACTATACTGCCCTTACTTTCCAAGAAATGGTATCCAACCTGAGTAAAAAGAGCAGAACATTACTCAAAAGAAATAGGAAAGGAAAGAGAAAACTTCTCTCTCACTGCACCCCTGCCTTCCTCGCCAGCTGATCCTTTCAGAGCCCCTGATAATGGAAAAGGCTGGAGGAGGAAAGAGCGGCACAGGTGAGAGATGCAAGCTGTTTCTCTCTGTGTGTATGCGTCTGCTGATCCTTTAAGAGCCCTGGCTGAAGCATAAAAGGCTGTGTCCCTCTTGGCACAACAAAGCACAGCAAAGCAGCAAAGAACCATGGGAAGTCTGACAACAAGCACAAAAATGGGGAAAATCCGGCAAATTGCTTTCACACTACAACAATTGCGCAAAGAAAGCAAATTCATGAATGAAATGAAAATGAAAACACGGTATTTTCCCAAAAATAACTATTTCCTGATTCATGTCACTTTCTGTTTGGATTCTAAGCGGTTTGCATGTGACAATTGAAAACCATTCACACAATCGTGCCTAATACACTGGATAACTGTGGGTTCTGGCCCGTTTAAATTTCCAATTTTCCTTATGTGATAAACTCCTTAGTCTCATTAAAAGCAAAGATCTCCTGAAAGTGTGCATAAGATTTCAGATTGAATTACCTACTTTTGAATTAATTGATTCATCAGTCTTTTCAAAGTATATTTCCATATCCACATCAAAACTTTAAAATAGCTCTCCTTAAAAGATACCATAACTTACAATGAAATTAAAAAATAAAAACAAAACATCTCAATCTGTAGCTTGTTAGAAAGAAAAGTCATCCCCTGTTATATCAGCAAAGACCAAAATAAAAATAACACTGACAAATAAGTATTGATTTTTTCTTATGTTACTATCATCCTCTTGTGTTATTCTTCTTGCTAGACAGGGATATTTTAAGCATGCATTTAACTTGATTGTTGATCAAGAGCACAAAGCTAGAATCAGTGGGAGAGGATATTCAGGAGACTTTTAAGTAAAATGTTAGGAGAAATTTCCCAAGAGCTGTTTCATGAGAGTCAATTTGAGGGTGGACTACAACGCTAGAAACCAGGGTTTGATTCCCAGCTCAGCTGTGAAACCCACCGGTTGACCTTGGGCAAGTCACAAGCGCTGAACTTCAAGGGAAGGCAATGGCAAATCTCCTGGAAACAAATCTTGCCAAGAAAGCCCTATGATAGATTTGCCTTAGGGTTGCAGTAAGTCATAAATGACTTGAAAGTGCACAACAAAACAAGAGCTGATTCACAGTAGGTCAGCCTGTTTCAGGAAGTGATGGAAATATTTAAGCAGGAGCTGCATGGTCATTGTCAGAAATACTGCATTTGTGAAGCATTTGCACTGCACATACTGTACTGAGCACAACAGTCTTTCCCAACCTGGTATACTCCGCATGTGTTGGACTACAACGCCTATGTACCACACATCTGGAGGGCATCAAGTTGAGAAAATCTGGAGCAGAGGGTTGGACTAGGTGACCTTTATGTTTTTCTCTCTTTCCTAATGCATGTGCTCCAGCTGCCCTGATCTGGCAGCGACAGTCCCAATGAATCCCCTATCTCATTTTTCCAGATGCTTTTCAAACATCCTAGTTTCTCTCTCCTCCTTCCACTTTCTCCCTTTGTATTCATCTTACTTCCATCATGCAAACTGAGTTCAAAGTGCAAAAGCAGTTTGCATTCAATGAGCACAGCAGAGGGGAGGGGAGAGAGGAAAGCAAAATCTTGCCCTTCTTAGTAGGATCAGGCAAAAGCAAACTGTAACAGCCTCTCCTAGCCTGGAAGAGCTTCCTTGCTAATAATTTTTGCCATATTGATCATATTCCGTTGTTGCTTGGCCACACACATCCCGATTTTTTTCTGTCCGAGTTCTAATGCTAGAACTAGAATTCTAGATCAGGGGTAGGCAACCTTTTTGAGCCGGGGGCCAGGTTGCTGTCCCTCAGACAATTGGGGGGGCCGAAGCACCAAAAATAAATAAATAAATAAATAAATAAATAAATAAATAATATTTTTTAAAAATACATTTTTTAAAAAAATATATATGCATGCACATTATCTCAGCCCCAGGAGAGCCATGACAAAACCCCTATGGAGATTTTGCCAAGAAAACCCAAGAACAAGTAATAACAACAATAATCAATATCATCATGATGGGGGGCGGCAGTGGGGGCGGCAGGACCGGCCTGGGGCCGGTCCAAAGGCCTCAGGGGGCCACATCCGGCCCCCAGGCCTTAGGTTGCCTACCCCTGTTCTAGATCATACACTGAAAAACTGAATGGTGGGAGATTCAGGACACAGAAAGTGAAATACCTCACTACACAGCACGTGGTTAAATTGTAGAATTCACTGGCACAAGATGTCACAATGATGGCCAACTTGGAGAGCTTTAAAAGGGGATTGGATGGATTCATAGAGGTCAGGACCATCAATGCCTATTAGTCAAGATACCAATGGTATCATCACAGTTGCACCTGTCTCCTCTTCCTCCTCTTCTGCCTTCTCTTTAATACCCCATGCTATACCCAAGGATCTCAGGGCAGCATACAATAAAATGAATGTGAACCATTTATTTATTTATGAGATATTTCATATCTCACCCACCATCTTATTTAAAAACTCTGAAATTGCAAGAATAATTTAAATAGACTAAAAAACATATCAAACAATTTAGCAAGCTAAAACAAGACTGTTCAAAACCAGTTAAAACAGTTAAGAAAACTTAAAAGCAAGCACATGTGTAGAGTTTGATGAAATCAATTTGTTCCCAAACATTTTAGTAAAAAGTCCATACCTGCCAACATTTCACAAATGAAAACTGGGATATGTGCCCAAGCAACAACTGGGTGTTGTCAAGATGGCAAAGGAAGCAGACACAAGCTAGAAGGGGCTGCAGCAGTTTGCTTCTGTCTGAGCCTACTGGAAAGGGCAATATTTCACCCCTTCCTTTCCTCTGTCTCCTGCTAACTGGGTGTAAACTATTTTGTACTTTGAACCTATTTTGCATCAACTGAAATAAACTAAGAATACAGGTGGGAGAGCTGGAGAGGACCAAGAAACCTATATATTCTAAAAGCAACTAAAAAGTTGGACAAAAGCATGATTAATCAGGTCTGTCTCTGCCAAACTGGGGCAGTTGGAGAGTAAGAAAGTCAAGTTTTTACTTGGTGCCAGAATTACACCAGTATTGGTGACAGTTGAGCCTCTGAGGGAAGGAGCTGGCTGAGTATTCCTTGCCTAAGAAAATCCTATAACATTCATGTTGTTGTTGTTGTGTGCCTTCAAATCATTTCTGACTTATGATGTCCTAAGGCAAACCTATCACGGGGTTTTCTTGGCAAGATTGTTCAGAGGAGGTTTGCCATTGCCTTCCACTGAGGCTGAGAGCGTGTGACTTGCCCAAGGTTACCCTGTGGGTTTCCATGGCTGAGCAGGGATTTGAACCCCGCTCTCCAGAGAGTCACAGTCCAACACTCAAACTGCTATGCCACACTGGCTCTTATAAAATTCATAGGGTCATCATAAGCCGATGGACAACTTGAAGGCATGTACACACACACACATATTCCACAGAAAGTGTCAGAAGCAAAACCACTCAAGTTCTTCAGTCATTGTTTTTGTTAGCATAGCTATGTGAATAACCCATGCATTCTGGCTTTGTTGTTCACACTTTTTAAAAAAATCAGAACTTCATTTATGCACATCTCTGCGAGTTCTGTTGCTCATATGTGTCAGCATGGTGAATAAAGATGGAGTCGATGATGCGGATGTATTTGAAACACGTTCAAAGCATGCAGAGTTTTATCTCAGGTCTATTTGCATTGGTTATTCACACAGCCAACAACAAATTCACACAACAACAACTCAAAAAAAAAAATCCCGAGAATAATTATCCTGGGATTTGCAGGTTTATGGGTAGCCCCTGAAAAAACTTTAGTGGATGCATTCAAAATGCATGTGAACAACAGAGATTAATCCCACATTCATCCAGGATTTTTTTCACCATCTGAATAACCTCTGTCTCAGTTGCTGAGGAATGTGAAATGGAGGGTGCAGCGGCTGCATGCATTTCCAGGTGAGCTTCCTATATGCAGTCAGTCAGCCACTGTTTGGAAAAGCACTGCATTAGAAAGGCCTTTGATCTGGCCCAACCCAACTCTTTTTTGTTTTGTAACCTATTGTAGGAATTGTTTTATGTATTGATTTTAAATGTAAGCCGCCTTGATGGCTATGGCTAAAGGTGGGGTATAAATAATAATAATAATAATAATAATAATAATAATAATAATAATAATAATAATAATAATAATAATAATAATAATAATAATTATTATTATTATTATTATTATTATTATTATTATTATTATTATTATTATTATTATTATTATTATTATTATTATTATTATTATTATGTTTCAATGTTTCCCTGACAGGTACAGATGAGCAAATGCTTCCATGGCTAGGGTTTCATTTTCCTCTTGAGATCACAGAACTGAAAGGGAGGAAAGCCCAAAAAGAGGCCATCTATTCCAACTCCCACACTAGGGGGTACATATATTCAGTTTCCGACTCAGCCTTGCTGCAGTCAATCCCTGCCATTGTTTCTTAGTCTGGAAGAAATAGGACCTTCCCAATGAGGGTGTGAAAACAACCTTTTCATATCTGGCTGCTGCAATCTCAGTACACATTGTTAAGTAAAGTACACTAGGGAATACCAATAGAATGGACATGACATTTATGGAGAACCTTGTATTTCAATGTATACTGTTTTCTAAATGTATCCTCTACCCTTGTAATGAATAATATCGAGGCAGAACAAGAATTAAGCGGTTGAGAGACTTGGACTAGAGGCTTTGAATCATGAAAGGCAAAACGTCAAAAGTACTGACTTAGTTTCATTTAGGAAAACCATAAGAGGATGTAAGACCAGCTATATCAGAAAATAAACACAAGAATAGCATGCTGGTAAACACATTGTTTAAGCTTATAAGTTAAAGGGCAGGGAGATTTGCATTGCCAGAGCCCAAAATAAGTTTTGAATCATTAGAATAGCTCTTTGTTCTCTCAGAAAGCAAATGCGAGACTCTCTCACAACATATGGCTGCTGAAGTCCAGTGGTTATGAAAGACTGGAGAAGAAATGAAGAAGAGTAGAAGCTAGAAGGAGAGCAAGTGTGGTGTAGGGTTTGAGCATTGGCCTACAGCTCTGGAGATCAGGGTTCAAATCCCCGCTTAGCGGAGATGACCTTGTGCAAGCCACACTCTCTCAGCCTCAGGGGAAGGAAGGCAAAGGCAACCCCCCTCTGAACAAATTTTGCAAAGAAAACCCATTATAGGGTTGCCATAAGATGGAAATGACTTGAAGGTACACAACAGCAACAAAGCAGCTAGAGAAACACATCTTTTTTAAATGGAAGAGGTCTTTTGGGGGAGGGAAATGATAACATTATAAATATGTGGAATAGGATGAATTAGAAAAAAAAGTCGAGCACCTTTCATTACAGGCAAAGGTCAACCCCTTTAAGGCACAATATCCCACTGAGAGTGGTTGCACAACAGGATGAACCAAGGAGCCACAGCTTATCTGTTCTGTGAAGGCCTTGGAAAGTTGCATTCCTTTAAATCTCTAAAATGTTCAAGAGGTAATGCACTTTAAGATCATTCATTGTCATTATTTGCTATTCATTGTATGGCTAGTTAGTTTTTTAAAAAGCCTTAGGAATGATAAGAGAATGGTATCAAATTTTTACAACTCCTATCAAAATGCCTATAAAAAACCCTAAAAAAGGAACCTGGAAAAGTAATATTGTTGTACCAATAAAACTCTAAAGTAAATCCATATCATTCTGGGAACATCTGGTAATTTTCAAAAGGGAAGTAGATTTGAGCCAATGTGGTTTTAGTGACCGGAGTGTTGGAGTAGGACTCTGGGGGGCCAGGATTCAAATCCTTGCTTGGCCCTGGAAACCCTGTGAGTGACTTTGAACAAGTCACACTCTCTCAGCCTCAAAAGAAGGCAATGGCAACCCTCCTCTGACTGAATTTTGCAGTGAAAATCCCATGATAGGGCCACCTTAAGTCAGCAACCATGTGAAAGCTCACAACAAGAAGTAGATTTGGATTTCATTAGTATGTCAATGGGTGAATACTGTGGAATACTAGGGAGGTCAATGGGCTGAGAAAAAACCCTTCTTAAACACTGGAGAGCTGCTGCAATTCAGAAGTTACAATAATGGGCTAGTGGTCTGTCTGTAACAGAGTGTTCTCTGTTTCTGTATTCAACAAGCTTGTTTCTCACAGCACCCAGTTGGACTGCTATATGAAACACAAAGGCATGGCATGAGGACAATAACCGTCTCTGTATGGTGGTACAGCTGATACTGAGAGAAATACTATCTCTGATCCTTGAAATAATATACACCTCATAGAGGTGTGATGAGTAGCAGCCATTGATGGCCTTATCCTCCATAAATCTGTCCTGTCCTTTTAAAGAGGTATTTAAGCTGATAGTCGAAGCCGCCAGAGGTCATTGAATTTCCCAAGAAGTCTCTATTTTGTTGTGTTTGGAAAACTTCTAGATGCTGTTTAAGTAATACATGCCAAATGCAGTCCCAATTTATTTTTGAGTTATGGTGCTATAGTGCATCAGTGAAACTGCACATTTCCAATATAAATCTATTACTCTTTTTTTAAATATTAAAAATTCAGAGGGGAAAAATTGTCCCTCAGTTCTAAGGCCACCTCAACAAACCATCAATCCCATTAAAATTACTCTGTAAGATCCCTACTGCAGATTCATGAAGTGTCTACATTTGCAGACTGCTAGAAATAGTGCAAATTGAGTCCACTAACTGTCCTGGCTCAGTGCTAGGGAATCATGGGAATTGTATTTTTTTCTGAGACATTGAGCCTTCTCTGTCAGACTACAGTTCCCATGATTCCCTAGCACTGAGCCAGGGCAGTTAAAGTGGACTCAGTTTGCACTATTTCTGGCAGTCTGCAAAGGCCCTAAGGTAAAAACTTGGAAAGGGCTCCTTTATGGTTGTATAGAAGTGGGAATTTCATTAGGTTGTTGCTTATCATGCAACCAAGTAACAAGCAACACCTGCTGAATTTCCCATTTCAATACAACTATTAAAGTTGCAGGAGCCCTCTCCAGTTTTCACTCTGGCATCCCTACAACAAACAGCCACCAAGAAAAACAGAATGAATGGACACAATGGCAGTGGCATCCCTAGGGTTGGTGTCACCCGGTGCAGTAACTCATGGTATCACACACACACCCCATTGACCTCCTCTCAATTCACACCATACAGAATTCTTAATATTGCTTTTTTGCACTGTTACTCATAAATGGGCCCCACTTTGGGAGAAAGGTGGGAAAATAAATAAATAAATAAATTGTATTTCCCATATAGCACTGAGTGTAATGCTAATAGCTGCGGCATAAACAACCAGCCATATTAAAATTATACCTTCAAATTACACGATCATATACACAACCTAAATGTATTTACATATGCCTAGTGAAGATTTGGTTAAAATTTGATGTTTTTAAATAACATTTAAAAAGAATAAATTTTTTAAAAATATATGTTTTTAAATTCAAATTTTGAAATTTGAATTTAAAAAAATTCTGGGGCCTCTCTTATCTCTTCCCACTGAGCTTCACCGCACTCTCACCATCTTTTGAAGTATTTTAAAGGCAAGCAGATTAATACTATAGCCCATTTCTGCCGAAAATTAGATGTTTGAGGAACAGTGGTTTCACCCCCACTTAGGGTGTCCCCTGGTGTGATCCACACACCCCGCACCCCCCTATTGACACTACTTCACAGTGGCATTAACTGTTTTCAAAGCTCAAGGAACTATACTGCAAGAATTCATGCTTCTTTAGACCAGTCTAGAAGAGGCTTTACTCACCCTTCCCCCTAAACTAAATTTTATTTGCTTGCTTGTTCTGTGCCTTTGAGTCATTTCCAACTTACAGCGGTCCTAAGTTGAACCTAACATAGGCGTCTCTTTGCAGGTTTCCTCAGAAGGGATTTGCCATTGCCATCCTCTGAGGCTGAGAGAATGGGACTTCTCCAGGGTCACCCAGTGGGTTTCCATGGCTGAGCCATGATTCAAACTCAGGGCTCCAGAGTTGTAGTCCAATGCTCAAACCATTACATCATGCTTGCTCTCCTTAGTCCCATGTATAACCTCTCCTCCATTCCTTGAGAAAGTACTTCTGTTATGAGAATATTTCACCTCCTAGCATTACAGAGATTTTCCTTCAATTCCTAAACTTCTAACATTGCAAAGATTTGAGATCAATCTAATCTGCACTGCAGAAAGAATGCAGTTTGACATTGCTTTTACTGCCATGCAATGGATTGTGGGGATTTGTAATTTTGTGAGATATTTAGCCTTCATGGCATAGTGATTTGAGCAATGTGCTATGACTCTGGAGAACAGGGTTCAATTCCCAACTTGGCCATGAAACCCACTGAGTG